TTAAAGTTCCTCAGGTCAACGCCCCGACGGTATGCAGTCTCCTCTTGGTTGTCCCAGTGTGACCCACTTGCGCGCCGTTCCCCGCTTGTGTTGCCCGTGGCTCCCAGCGCACAAGTGCGGTTCCTCACTTGGAGCCGGCTTCGGTGGCCCAGCGTGGAGCCATGGCCCAGGCTCTTCTTTTTAAGCCAGCGTTCATGACCGCGCACCGCTTGGTGTATGGTTTGTCAGCCAGCCGCCCAGTCAGTGCACGGGCTTCGTTCCTTGTCCCCTCTGGGCCGCCATCTCAGATGGGCATTGGATGCCGAAAATGTCCCCGTTCCCCTCCCGACTGGTCTTGCTGGTGCCCATCCACAGAGCTGAAGCCGTCTCCAAGTTGGTGGTTCCCTGGTCATTTTCTTTTTTATATAAAAGAGTTGGTGGTTCCCTTGGCCGAGGGCGAAGAGGAGCCGCTGGTGCACGCCCGCAGCAGCATCCGCCGGGCCTGCCTGCGGACCGCCGCGGGCGCGGGCGCGGAGCCCCACGACGCCGGGGAGCGCGGCATCTCCGCCTCCATGCCGAGGGTCAGAAGGGGCGTCTGCAATCTACACGGGCGTATCTCCCTCGTCTCTCCGACCACTCCCCCGTCCCTGCGCCACTCCTCCAGGACCGCCTCCCGTCCCTCGTCTCGGGGACCTCCGATAATAGTCTATATGTGTGTATGTGCGAACATGCATGGCCGTGTGTATATACATACATACGCTTCAGACTTGCCATTGTTTGACGGTGAGTGGTCGTGCTTCGCATCGCTGGGCATTGCTTGGTCATGCCTGACGCTGCTTAGCGTTGATGGCTAGTGGTTTCAAGTGGCTGGCAAGTGCTGGTCGTGCTTGCATTGCTTGGCATTGGTTGGCCATGCTTAGCATTGGTTGGCCGTGCTTGCCGTTGATGCGCCTCAGAGCTGATGGCGTAACCCATGGGCCCTTGGGCGGGGCCGGAGCTTCCCCTGGGCCGTCGGGTAGTGTTCAGGGTGCTGCGAAGGGGACAGCCGAACGCACACACACACCGATATACATATATATATATATATATATATATAGATATATACGCACATATATGTATATGTATGTATGTATGTATATATATATGTATATGTATATATATATATACACATCAAGTTGCCTGCGGCAAACCCCGCCACCGTGCCTGTGCAGCAGCGCAGCAGGAAGGAGACCGAGTGTTGTGCGAGGGCTCTGGTGGACATGCCACACCAACGGGGGGGAACTAATGAAGTCTTTACACCATATAATTCTCCACACCAGAAATTCCACTGGCGGGCCCTCCAATCCAGGGGCGGCCCAGTTCGGACCATCCGCACATGCGACAGCTTCCTTCCGCCCCCGTATGGCCAGGGGAGGTACGTTGGTAGACCCATCCACTCCAAGGAATGTCTGTCTGTGGGCCAGCCATCCCAGGGAATTCCATTAGTGGGCCAGTCACCCAAGTGGTGATCCACTGGTAGCCCGTGCTTGGCATCGCTGTATATTGGTTGGTCGTGCTTGCCATTGCTTGGCATTGCATGCCCCGAGAGGCCCTAAAGGCTTATCCGAGAGGCCTTGTGGTTGTTGCACCTAATGCCAAGCACGACCAACCAAAGCTAAGCCGAGCCGAGCTCGACCGGCCAATGCCAGGCACGGCCAAGCAATGCCATGAGCAAGCGCCCAATGCCAGGCTACGCCAAGTACGACCGCACGACGCTAACCGATACCAATCATGAGCAAGCAATGCCAAGCAATACCAAGCAGGACCGCCCATTGCCAAGCGATGCCAAGTCGAAATACGCAACGCCGATCAACGCCAAACACAACCAGTAAAAATGGCAATCAAAAAATGGCAATCAGCGCCAGGCGATGCATAGCATTGCCAACAATGCCAAGCAATGCCAAGGGCGACCACTCATTGCCAAGCAATACCAAGCAGGACCAATAAATTCCAGGGAACGCCAAGCACGACCATACATTGCCAAGCTGTGCCGAGCATGAACAGGCAATGACAAGCAATGCAAAGCACGAACACCAAATGCCGAGCACGGCCAACCAATGTCGAGCACGACCGACAAATGCCAAGCAGGGGCACTCATTCAATTCCAAACAGTGCCACTGACGGCCTACCAATGCCAAGTATCGCCAGGCAATGCCAAGCGCGACAACGAGTGCCAGACAATGGCATGCACGACCACCCAATACCAAGCAGCCCGAGGCATACTCAACCAACGCCAAGCAGTGCGTGCCAAGCGAGTCCACTCAATGCCGAGCACGACCAAGTACTGCAAGGCGCGACCACGCAATGCCCAGAAATGCCAAGCAATCCTCACACAATGGCGAGCACTGCCCATCCGACCACCAATGTCAAGCAACTCCAAACACGGCCATCAAACTAAGCACGACCGAGCTATGCCAAGCACGACCAACCAATGCCAAGCTACGCTAATCACGACCACTCGATGTCGAGCAATTCCAAGCATGATCAACAATAATGCATCGCCCATGCCAAGACGGCAGCTTCCTCAGCTCTGGAGCGTCCCCCACAAGGCTCAGGGTATCCAACGAGGTTTCCCGCAGGCTTGCCCAGCGGACTCCAAAGCATTCCACCATTGGCTGCGAGGCCTCGACACACAGGCTGTGAGACCTCTCCCGCAAGGCCCCTTGGCAATGCTTGGCATTGGCCCCCGTGCATGCACGCGATGTGGATTATATAGGTGGCGATCCGATCGCCACGACCACACGGCCGACGATGAGGCAAAATGATGGCGGGCAAGGGGCTTGGGCGGAGGTGAGCGAAAGGGGAGAAGACGTAGCGCGTGGCGGGGGGGCGATGGCGGGGGTGTGTCAGAGGGGCGGGGGGGTATCTGGGGAGCGCCTGGGGGGGGGGACAAAAACAACAAAAACAACTTGATGCTCATGCAGATTTTTTTTGTTGCCCCCCCCCCTCCCCCCCGGGCAGCGCCGCGGGCGATAGGGGGGGTGGGGGCGTTCTGGCCACGCTTGGCATTGCTTGGTCGTGCATGGCACTGTTTGCCGCTGATGGTTCATGCTTTGTATTGATTGGCAGCGACTGGTTGTGCTTGCATTGATCGACATTGATTGGTCATGCTTGGCTTTGCTTGGCATTGTTTGGCTTTGCTTGCCGATGGAACACCCCCAGGGCTGACGACTGAGACCCCATGGGCCTTTCAAAGAGCCCTTGCCTTCCCTTCGGCTTTCGGGTCGTGTTCAGGGTACTGCAATGTGGGACTCCGAGAATAGTCTATAGGTGTGTGTGTGTGTGCGAACATGCATGGCCGTGTGTATATACATACATCGGCTTCAGACTTGCCATTGTTTGACGGTGAGTGGTCGTGCTTCGCATCGCTGGGCATTGCTTGGTCATGCCTGACGCTGCTTAGCGTTGATGGCTAGTGGTTTCTAGTGGTTGGCAAGTGCTGGTCGTGCTTGCATTGCTTGGCATTGGTTGGCCATGCTTAGCATTGGTTGGCCGTGCTTGCCGTTGATGCGCCTCAGAGCTGATGGCGTAACCCCATGGGCCCTTGGGCGGGGCCGGAGCTTCCCCTCGGCCGTCGGGTAGTGTTCAGGGTGCTGCGAAGGGGACAGCCGAACGCACACACACACACCGATATACATATATGCGCATACATATATATATATATATATATATACATATATATATATATATACACATCAAGTTGCCTGCGGCAAACCCCGCCACCGTGCCTGTGCAACAGCGCAGCAGGAAGGAGACCGAGTGTTGTGCGAGGGCTCTGGTGGACATGCCACACCAACGGGGGGGAACTAATGAAATCTCCACACCATATAATTCTCCACGCCAGAAATTCCACTGGCGGGCCCTCCACTCCAGGGGCGGTCCAGTTCGGACCATCCGCTCCTGCGACAGCTTCCTTCCGCCCCCGTATGACCAGGGGAGGTACGCTGGTAAACCCATCCACTCCAAGGAATGTCTGTCTGTGGGCCAGCCACCCCAGGGAATTCCATTAGTGGGCCAGTCACCCAAGTGGTGATCCACTGGTGGCCCGTGCTTGGCATCGCTGTATATGGGTTGGTCGTGCTTGCCATTGCTTGGCATTGCTTGGCCCTGAATGAGTTTGATTAGAGCAACTCGCGCCTCTCAGTGTGATTGTTCGTAATCACACACGGCCAAAGGCGCTGAAAGTGATTGAAGCAATCAGTGCCCCCAATGTGAATGTTTTCATTTATTATTTCATATCTATATATATATATAGTCGCTCTCATAGACGACATCAAGCACATTTGGCCCATGGCCCTGAATGTGAGTGAAACAATCCGTACCCTCAATGTAATTAATCTAGTCACATTAGGCCCAGGGCCTTGATTCTGATTGAAACAATCAGTACCCCTGACTGTGATTGAGGGCCATAGATTAAAACAGTCGTGGCTTGGGGCGCCGTGAAGAGGTCAAGGGGCTTGGGCGGAGGTGAACAAAAAAGGAGGAGAGGTAACGCGTGGCGGGGGGGCGATGGCGGGGGGGTGCCAGAGGGACGGGGGGTATCTGGGGAGCGCCGGGGGGGGGGGGAAGAGAAAAGAAGAAGAGAAAAAACAACTTGATGATCATGCCGATTTTTTGGGGGGGCGGGCTCCCCCCTCCCCTCCCCCTCCCTCTCCCTTTCCTCCCTCTCCCACTCCCTCCCTCTCCCCCCCCCCCCCATACCGCGCCGCTCCCTCCCTCTTCTCTCTCTCTCTCAATCTATCTCGTCGTCCTTCTCACCCCCACCCGCGTTGCAACGCGCACCTCGGACGTAAATCGTGCCGCGCGGCGGCCCCCCAAACCGCCACCCCAGAATCCCCCGTTTTCGGTCTATTACGGCTTAGTCCCGGGTTTCTTCCGGGGAGCTCCGCTCTCGTGGCCCCGCAATCGGGCTCGACGGTGTCCTCATCAGGTTTAGTAGCCCTTGCTCGTTGCCTTCACGGACGTTGCCTCCGAGGGGGGGGGGGCGCGGCACGGCCGCGGCGCGGTCAGCCCCGTGGCGTCAACTCTCGTCCTCTTGTTCTTCTTCTTCGTCTTCTTCTTCTTCTTCTCCGTCTTCTTCCTCCTCCTCCTCCTGAGACACATTAAAGCGAATGGGTTAGTGTCCTACCCCACAGAGCTTGAAACAGGCAGATCACGATCAGCACACCTGTGAGCTCGACAGTCTGGGAGATTCACAGGACCGAATCTCGACATGAATCCGGTTGCCCCGGAACAAAATCCTGCCACGATCAAGCCCCGCCAGCACCCTCTTCCCCCAGGTCCCCAGGTCGAGGGCCGAGTGCACGCATGCGATAAAGTTTGGCCGCGGTCACTGCGCCGCATCTGGCGCAGAAGACGCCGCTGACAGCACCGTCAACCGACACCCACCTCCTCAGCCTGTGCTCTCCATCCACCACAATGACCCGCTCCGCCCGCCACACCCGCACAGGCTGAGGAGGTGGGGAGTGGGCGGGTGAATGAATCGAGGCAGCGGCCGCGGCAGCAGCAGCGGCAGCCCCGTCTCCCCCCATCGCGCGCCTCCGCGCGTGGCGCGGGGCGCGCCTCCTGGCGCCGTCGCCGATCCTGCAGCAGCTCGTGACGGCGGAGGCGCTCGGAATCGAGGGCCGCCACTACTGCTCCCGCTCTCCCCGCCTGCTCTACCACCGCCCTCCCTAGACGAGAGGCACGGGCAAAACGAAGACGAGTGGCGACCGCAACCCTCTGCTGCATGCTTTTCCTAGCGGTCGGCGTGCAAGATACTTGCCAGAACTCTTGCCGGCACATCTCTGCGCTGCTCTAGGGTGGGGTGGACTTTGACCATGACGAAACTCACTGGCTAAGGACCCACCCCACCCCAGTCCTCGATCTTGGCCCATGCTGAGCTCCGAAGATCCGAGAGTGCACTGGACGGGTGGCAGCAGCTGGACTTTCCACGCTCCGTGAAGCCTAGAACAACGAACCCGCTGCCAGTGTGGATCACCACGGGAGGGAGGTCGTTCTGGCCCGCCTCCCCCTCTTCCTCGACTCCTCCTCCTCCTCCTCGTCTTCCTCCTCCTCCTCCTCCTCCTCCTCCTCCTCCTCCTCTCCCTCCTCGTCTCCCGCCCCTCCTCTGCTTCCCTCCCGTTCCGTCCCCTCACTTGCGCAGGCCGCTGGGCGCGCCGCCCGCGGCGCAAGACTCTCCTTTCCTCCTGCTCCTCCTCCGCCTCTCCTCCCCCTCGCCTGCCCGGAGGCCGCTGGGGGCGCGGCCGCGCTGCGCCGAGCCGCGCCGTGGGCCCCCCCCTGTCGGCTGCTCCTGCACGCTGCGGGCAGCGCCCGCGCGACCAGCGCTCGCTGCGGCAGAGCTCGGTGCACGGCAGGCAGTCCTGGCCAATCCGTGCGCCGAGCAGCTCCGTCCGCCCCTCCCCCCAAAGGCCACCGACACAGCAAAGTCCCACTTAAGTGCGGGGCGGGGGAGAGGACGGGTGCGGCGCAACAACAGCCCAGGCCGCGTTGCAAGCATGGGGGATCTGGTGATCGTATTGGGGATCTGGTGATCGTACCCGGATCCGACACCGAACAAGTCTTTTTGTGAGCTGCTTACGGCTGCCTGCGTTGTACTGCTGGGGCGCAGTCGGTGGGAGCTTGGGGTTGCGATCATACGGCAACAAACGACGACTCCCGAGCAGCTCAGTGAGCTCCGACGGAGCACCCTTCGAAGCGAAGCTGCGGGCGAGATACCCGCAGACACGAGCCCATAGCAAACCAGATACCGGTTTCCCCCGGCATCCAGTTGTCATTGCTCGTCCGCCAGCGCAGTTGCTCTGCCTCTAGCCGCCGACGTAAAAGTGTCCTTCGGCTGGTGTGCAGGCACGGCAGAGCGGGCTGTCCATTAACTTGGCCTCATGCATGCGCTGCTGTGTCCGTTGACTGCCTATCACCGCCGAACGATGGTAGGCTCTCTCGTCAGCCGTGAGCGGAGGACGCGCAGAGAGCAACGAGAGGATGGGTTCGATCAGACCTCCCTTCTGGGATTCAGGGCAGTCAGAACTCCTGGCCACGCACCTCCACTTCCAGGCTTCACATGCCCGATCGACTAGCACGCGTAGGCCATGCACACAGCTGGCCGCGGGGTCAAAAACAATCCCTCGCGGGAAAGTCCAGGCTCGGAAATCCCTGACGTCAATCCCGAGGCGGTCACACGTGGCCAGGAACGCAGAAAAAGGGCCGACGCACCTTGCCACAGAGTCTCTCTCTGTTGCTGGGCTTTGTCTTGGAGGCTCTGGAGGGCCCTGCAAAATGACATGCTGGGGCACCCACGTTCGCTGCCCCGACGCAAGGATTGCACATATGGAGTCCGCGGAGGCCTTGCAAGTGGGACCCATACGCCTTTCATGGGTCAGGAGGAAGCGGAGGGTCAAAGAGGAGGGACTCGTGGGCCCTAGGTTGGCGACTATTTGGACGGAACCGCGACAACTCTTCCTCGTTCGTGCCAGTCAGACTGGTGCCATAAATCACACGGTCTTTCGCCATGCGTGCCACGAGCTTTCGCCGCTAGGCTTCGACTAGCAACTGCAATATTCGCGTCCTCACTGCTCCAGCAAGGAGACGCTCACGCTCAGCGCCCCTCCTCAGACGCCTCCCCCACCCTAAGCCCACCCCCAGATTCCTCTCAGTGCGCGCACACCTCGCCTTCGAGGGAGTCGAGATCCTGCTCACGGTCTTTCCTGACCCTAGCCGTGCTACCCAGGAAACGGGTTTTGTCCCTGGCAGTGAACAGGCCGTGCTTCAGCATTTGCGCTTGCAGCTCGACTCCAGCAACCACTCGCTTTTTTTGACACGGGGCTCTTCACCGAAACGCTGGAGGCCGGCGTCATCGACCACCTTCGAGAGAGCAACTTGCGGGGCAGCAGCACTCCCTGCATCCATGGGTCCTCGCATGACCAACTGGAGCAGCGGTGTGGCGGAGGCAGCCTGGTGGCACGCTTTGCTCCGATAGAGTGGGCTCCTGCGCATAGCTGCCCACGTCTAGCACACATTTGCACACGATGCAAACTCACCAGCAAGACAAGGGGGCCGCACGGGGAAGCCACTGCGATGCGCGGCCGCCACGAGTCGGTGGTGCCGAGCGAGCCAAGAAGGCCTTGCGAGGCCCACCGGCACCGTCCCCGACACCACCCCACGGCCGTGAGCCCATTCCTCCTCCTCCTTCCCCTCCTCCCTACCTGCTGCACCCAGACGCACGTGACACAGGCCTTGCCGTTGGTCCCCCACTCGAGACCCTGAAGCTTTCTATCCTGCCAGTCCTGGGCCTCGTGCTTGCGCAGTCGACGAAAGACCCCAGCAAGGGAGTGCAACCCAAGTCGCCACTCGATTGACGCAAGACCTCTGCCAGCGCCTCGAGCGCATCATCCCCCAGAAGCAGCAGATGGCGAGGGTTGGCACAACCGCATCGCTGGCCCGCGGAGGGCTTGAGGGATTTCACAGCACGTGCCAGCTGAGCGGCAGAGGGCCTGGGCTGTGCCTCGAGGATGGAGAGAGCAGGCCACGAGGGGGGGGTGGCTTCCTAGGCCTCGGCATCGCTCGGACGTGTGCATTTTTCCTTCGGCGAGGACCATCGAGGAGCATCCTTGATCACTTCGCGAAACAACCACGCACGAAACCAACAAAAAACACAGGACATGGACGTCCGAGCGATGGCCAGAGGCACACCACCAGGCCTCCCTGTCCTACACAACTTCTGGAGCGGTTCTGCCGAACCCATAGGCACGTGATCTGCCGTGGCCTCCTCTGGGGCAACACTGTACAGAGACGAGGCCTCTCGCTCACTTGAGCGCTTCTCCACCCAAGCCTCCCAACCTCTCTCCTTCTCGCGCCGGCTGGCTGACACGAGCTCATCAGCCTTGCACGAAGCAAGGGTCTTCAAGAGGTCAATCCCGGCTGGGCCGAGATCAGGATCCCGCACAAGCTCGGCATCAGACAACTTGGCAACGGCGCGCGCCGCCGTCGTGAAACAGCGTCCCGGCCTCCGCGGGAGACGAACTTGTCCATGAACAGTTGCGCTGCAGTCGGGGCCCTGAAGAAGGAACCCTTTTCGTTGGGGAGGGGGCTCCGTGTTCCTTAAGTGTTTCGCAGCTTGCCTCAGGTTTTCTTTATGTTTCCGATCGGAAATCGAAGGTTAATTGATGGAAAAATGGGGCCTCGTTCCTTATTTTGGGTTCCTTAGGTCAAGGCCCCGACTGTATCCCTCTCCACCAAGCAGCCTCGGAGCTGAGCTTCGGGCAGGGGACCGCCCACGTCTGCTGCGGCACAACGACCTCGACCACGGGAGGCGAGTTGTGGCCAGCGTGCTTCTCGCGGTCGGCAAATGTTGATCCACTTCTGCTCGGCCTTCCTTCTCCTCCTCCTCCTCCTCCTCCACTTCCCCCTCTCTTCTTCCTCCACCCTCCTCCCTCCTCCCTCCACCCTCCACCCTCCACCCTCCTCCTCTTTTTTGTCCTTCTTTTCCTGCTCCTCCTCCGCCTCCTCCTCCTCCCCTTCCCTCCTCCTCCAATTCCACTGCGTTGTGGGCCGTCCCGGCAGATTGACCGCCTGCAGATGAAGATGCAGCAGTCCGACGACAGCGAAACGCCCAGCACGGGCAGGCTGTCGTCGCCGGGCTACGCGCCGCAGGACACCAGCCGAATTTGTTTGTCATCGGCGGCGACGACAGGGGCGAATAGCCCAGGGGCGGGCATTACACGTATTCGCCCGGGAGCCTATTCGAAGACATAGATCATCGGCGTACCTGAATACATGTATTGCTCTCCCCAGGGCTATTCTCCCCTATCGTCGCCTCTGACACCAATCGAGAGGAGCTTAAGGATGAGGTGGAGAGGGAGGAATGCTGGGGGAAACCTTTGCAGCCTGTGGCTAATCCCGAGGCCCGTTGGTCCTGCCCTCACGACGTTGCACACACACACACACACCCACACACCCACACACACACACACACACACCCACACACCCACCCACCCACCCACCCACCCACCCACCCACCCACCCACCCCCACCCCCACCCCCACCCCCACCCCCACCCCCACCCCCACACCCACACCCACACCCACACCCACACCTACACCCACACACACACCCACACCCACACACCCACACACCCACACACCCACACACCCACACACCCACACGCACGCACGCACGCACGCACGCACACGCACACGCACACGCACACGCACACGCACACGCACACGCACACGCACACGCACACGCACACGCACACACACAACACACAACACACAACACACAACACACAACACACAACACACAACACACAACACACAACACACAACACACAACACACAACACACACACAGAGACACACACACACAACACACACAACACACACAACAAACACACACACACACACGGCAGGAGAGCTGACGCCCTCGCCCCACCGGAACCTGAGAGCGCAGGAGGAGGAGGAGGAGGATGAGGAGGAGGAGGAGGATGAGGATCAAGGGAGAGAAAGCACCACCCCGACCCCGAGACTCGGCGTTTGCCAAGCGGCCCTGGGCGCTTGCGGAGCAGCCCTGCCCCGTTCGGTGCCCTGCGTGGGTGCGTTTGCGACACGGCTTCGCTCGTCGGGGTGCTGAGCATGAGGGTGGATTGGTTGCTCCCTGCCTTCGCTCGCGCCCCTCGCTCCGTCCGCGCCGCGGCTGCCGTCGGAGCCAGGAGCGGCCGCAACGCCCGCGAAGAACGTTGGGGCGGGGAGGGAGGAGGAGGAAAGAGGACGAGGGACGAGGAGGAGGAGGAGGAAAGAGGAGGAGGGAAGAGGAGGATGAGGGAAGAGGATGAAGAAGAGGATGATGAAGAGGATGAGGGAGGAGGAGGAAGGAAGAGGATGAGGAAGAGGAGGAGGAGGATGGGTCTCGAGCCCCGATCGGCATGGGTCCAAGCACTCTCTGCGCGTCATGGTCGTGGAGCTGGTGCCGCCCGGGTCACAGCGGCTCCTGAGCCGAGCTCCCCCAGAAAGACCAGTGCGAGGAGGAGAGGGCGGGGAGGAGAGGGAGGAGAGGGTGGGGAGGAGAGGGTGGGGAGGAGAGGGTGGGGAGGAGAGGGAGAGGGTCCGGCAGCGTGCACACCTCCCTTTGGCGAGGACCGTCGAGAAACACCTTGGGTCACCCTTGCGAGACAAAACAAACACGCACGACACGGAGGAGGAGGAGGAGGAGGAGGAGGAGGAGGAGGAGGAGGAGGAGGAGCGAGGGCGAGGCTCGGGCCCCCGCCCCCCGCGGCGCGGCCTCCGCGCGCCACGCCTCCGGCCGGAGCACGGCGCCGCCAGGCGGAGCTCGGGGCGCTGCGGGAGCGCACGGCCACGCTGGAGGCGCAGCTGCTGCAGTGCGCCAGGGCCGGGCAGGGCCTGCTGGCGCAGAACCAGGACCTCCAGCACCAGGCAGGGGCGCGAGAGCGAGTCGGGGCCGTTTTCCCCTTCGGGGTCGAGTCGGGATGGTGTCCTGGTCGAGATCGATCAGCATCCGTCGGGCAGGGCTCCTCTCGGCCCGGTCGATCATGCTCTCGGCGGCGAGCGAGGGGGGGGGGGGAGACGGAGAAGGCGCTCCCAGAAGGCGGTGGGACTTCTGAGAAGCCCTCCAGCCTGCTGATAGTTGTTATGTTTCCGGGGAATGGCTTAGTGAACTTGTCAGAGGGCCGGGGGACTTCCGAGAGCCTTCTGAGAAGGCCGGCTCCTTCGCACTCCCCCCTACGCTCGCCTCCGATGTTCGAGATCGATTCGGGCTGGCCCGGAGCCGGTTCGCCTCCGAGCTGCCGACGATCCGAGGCGGCCAGAGTCTCTTCCACGGCGCTGCTCTGCAGCCTGGCCCCGTCGACCCGATGCGGTTTCGACTCCGCGCCCGAGGCGGCCCGATCCGACGCACGTTTCGATTCGATCCTCCTCCTCCTCCTCCTCCTCCTCCTCCTCCTCCTCCGTCTTCCCGCTTCGATGACGATTGGTTCTACAGGTGGGCCAGCTGAAGGAGGCCCAGCAGCTGCTGCAGCGGCATGCCTCGGAGCTGCAGGAGCAGCTCGAGGAGGAGAGGCAGCGGCCGCGGAGCTCGAGGCCCAGCTCCAGGAGGCAGAGCCGCAGGTGGAGCCGCGAGAGCCTGGACGACGACGCTTCTGCGGTCCGTGGTGACCTCTCCAGGCGTGCCAGCACTGCCACCAGGAAGTCGGCGGCGCGCACGGGCAGTCCGTCCAGCGGTTCGGACCAGTCGGGCAGCAGGCCGCCGCCAAGGATGAGCACCCGATCGCCAGCTGCCCGACGGCATGGCAGCGTCGACTCGATGCAGTCCTCGGGCGGGGGCGAGGACGGCGAGTCCCGCGCCTGCGAGGAGCTGCGGCGGCAGCTGCACACCGTGGAGGACACGAACTCGGAGCTGCTGGCCGCGAACACGCAGCTCCACGACGGCATGCAGCGCCTCGAGCGCGAGCTGCACGAGGCGCGCGCGCAGGCCCGGGCCGAGGCCGAGGCGGCGCAGGCGGAGGCCGCGAGGGCGGCCGAGGCCGAGCAGTGCGGCGACGAGGCGCCGTGCGCGCTGGCGCCCGCGCCGATGGGCCGCGGCCTCGCGCGCTTCAAGCGGACCGCCTGGGCGGTGCGCTTCGCGGTGGACACGCCCTCCAGGGCGGCGTCGCGCCTGAGGCGGGCCTCCAGCAGCCTGTCCGACTCCGAGCGGCGCCTCCGGAGGACCTCCAGCACCGGGCTCGACGCGCCCGCGCTGGGGGCGGCGCTCAGCGAGGAGGACGAGGAGAGCGAGGAGGGCGCCGAGGAGGCCTCGAAGCGGGAGGCCGACCTGGAGGGGCAGCTCCGCGAGAGCGTGGTGCGGTGCGAGGCCGCCGAGCGCGAGGTGGGCCACCTCGCCGCGCGGTGTGCCGCGCTCGAGGAGGAGCGCGCCCGTGCGCAGGAGCTCTGGCGAGAGGAGACGGTGCGGTCGGCGGCGCTCGCGTGCGAGGTGGAGCAGCTGCGCGCCAAGCTGGACGAGCAGGACGCGGAGGCGAGCGTGGAGTCGGGCACGTCCCTCTACAGGAGGAAACGTCAAAACAGATGGGCAAGCATAGGCTGGGGACGATGTTCTCCATTATCTGTGGGACTACCTGGGCGTTTTTTTTTGAATGTCAAAACATGGGCCCCAAACGTAGCATGGTGACGATGCTGGGAGCACTGCTTGTCCATGTCTGAATCCATTCGGACTCTTTTTGATCCTCCGCCCAAACAATCAGCCCGTAGGAGGACATTCAGGAGGAAAAGAAACACACAGGCACAGTTATCGATTCTCCTGAAACCATGGGAAAATATGGGAAGTGGGGGGGAAGACACAAACCCCGAAAATATGGAAAAATCATGGGGAATGTTTCTATTTGTGTGCATTTACTTGTGTGTCCTGGGGCCCCTTCAGACGATGTAGGAGGACATGGCCAACCGAAGCCTAAGCCGAAACATAAGCCGAGGAGGAGGAGGAGGAGGAGGGAGGAGGAGGAGGAGGAGGAGGAGGAGGAGGAGGGAGGAGGACGTGGCCGGCCGAAACACCTCAGGCGAGCGCGCTGCTCATGGCCCGCCACCGCCGCCGGAGCCTCGCCGCCGACCTCTCGGGGGCCCGCCCCTCGCTGCGGGCGGAGGCGGACGGCGAGCCGCCCGAGGCCCGGGCCCCCCCCGCGGACGCCCCGGCAGGAGGGGGGCGCAGACACGCTTCCTCCCTGCCTCCCTCCCTCCCTCCCTCCTCCCTCTCCCCCCTCCCTCCCTCCCCCCCTCCCTCCCCCTCTCCCCTCCTCCCTCCCTCCCTCCTCCCTCCTCCCTTCCTCCTCCCTCCCTCCTCTCCCCTCCTCCTCCCTCCTCCTCCCTCCCTCCTCCCTCCTCCCTCCTCCCTCCTCCCTCCTCCCTCCCTCCCTCCCTCCTCCCTCCTCCCTCGTCCCTCCTCCCTCTCTCCTCCTCCCTCCTCCCTCCTCCCTCCTCCCTCCTCCCTCCCTCCCTCCTCCTCCTCCCTCCCTCCTGCCTCCCTCCTCCTCCTCCCTCGTCTCCCCTCCTCCCTCCCTCCTGCCTCCTCCCTCCTCCCTCGTCCCTCCTCCCTCCTCCCTCCTTCCTCCTCCCTCCTCCCTCCTCCCTCTCCGCCTCCTCCCTCCTCCCTCCTCCCTCCGTCCCTCCGTCCCTCCGTCCCTCCTCCCTCCTCCCTCTCCGCCTCCTCCTCCTCCTCCTCCTCCTGAAGCATACCAGCCTGGAACATGTCCCTATCCCTATGCTGGGCACCTCATCACGATGCCAATCTGAGGGATTCCCTGATCTTTTGAGGGCGAATCCCCAAGACTGTCATCGCCTTCTGGCGTGTCAATCTTGGGGATAGGGATACGTTCGAGGCTGGTAAGCAGACACACGGACCGCTCTGGGTTTCTCAGCGAGCGCGGGGGGGGGGTACTCCCCCCGACGGGGGTCAAGCTCGCCTCGTCGTCGCGCCGCGACGGGGGTCGGAGCGCCTTCGGCGCGCGGTGGCTGCCCGCGACGGGGGTCGATGTGGGGCTGTAGGCGAGGGTGGCGCCCCCCCGACGCTGATTAAGAAACTCGGAGGATGTTGCTCCCATCGCACTTACGGATCACTTCCCAGAAATAATTTCGGGAACGCAGAAAGAGTATCGAAGCAGTGTCGAACCAGTATTGCCTCCCAGGGCCCGACACGTGAAAGCCCGACACGTGAAAGCCCGCAGGAGGGGAAGCAAACACACAGACACAATGATTTCGAAGATGAAAACACGTCATACACATGATTTTGGCGCTCAGCGCGGCTTTCTTGGATCCGCGCTGGGCTCCCCCGGCGGCGCCTCCGGCGCGGCCCCTGGCGCGCGGAGCGCGCCAGGGAGGGGGTCCCAGCGCGGATCCAAGAAATCCACGCGGAGCGCAAAAATTTTATGTCTATGTCCTTTGTTCTTCCTCTGTGAATCGCCGATTCCCAGGTAACTGCGGGAACGTCTGGGAAGTGTGAGGGGGGGAGGGGCCAAACGGAAGCCCAGAACATCCTGGGAACGTGTGGGACATCCTGGGACCTGCGCCCACTTCTCGGTGTGCCTTCCTGGGCCCCACCTCGCGCAGGGCTGCGAGGGCGGCGCCGCCGCTGCCGAGGGCGGCGGCGGCAGCGCGCGGGCGCTGCACTTCCGCGCGGCGCCGCTGCCCGCCGCCTCCGCCGCCGCCCCCGGGCCGGCGCCCTGCGCGGGGCCGCCGGAGGCCACCGGGCGCGGCCCGCTGCTCGCAAGAGTCAGGAGGGGAAAAACACACACACACAGAGACACAAGTCATCGCCGATTCCCCCGAGAGTATGGGAAGGTATGGGAAGTGGTGGGGAAGACCAGGACCCAGAAGATATGGGGAAATGTGGGAACATGTGGGAAGTGGTGGGGAAGGCAAAAGCCCAGAAGACATGGGGAGATACATGGGGAAGCTTTTTCTTTGTGCGTATGTATTTGTGTGTGCCAGGGCCCCTTCAAAGAGTGCCTGCGGTCGGACCGAGGTACGAGATCGAGGTCGCCTCGGGGAGGGTGCCTAATTTCCCTGGTGCTCTTTTAAGGGGAAAAACATTCCAACAAACACAACAAACACACTGTGGGAAAGCAAAACACAAAACAAACACACAGTGTGTGTGTGTATGTGTGTTTTCCCACAGTCGGACCGAGGTATGAGATCGAGGTCGCTTCGGGGAGGGTACCTTCCCTGGTGTTCTTTTAGCGTTTTTGGATGCTCTCGCGCGTCTTGGGGATGGGTATACCCTTGGATGTTCTCTGTGTGTGGTCTGGCTGGCGGAGGGTCTCCTGTTCTCGAGGGGTGTTCTTCTGGCCCAGGTCCGGCTGTGCTCGCAAACTTCCAACAAACGCATGTCTGCCTCGATGTAATGGATCGTGAATCCCCCACGGCGGATCCGGGCCATTTCCGAGCAGTTACTTTGCGACCAGTGGAACGAGCTTGTCTAGCTCATCGAGCGGGTTCCATAACTCGCAGAGTGTCTACTCGCAAACGTCCGACGAACGCGTGTCTTCCTCGATATAATGGATCGTAAATTCCCCACGGCGGCTCTGGGCCATTTGCGAGCCAGTGATTTGCGAGTAGTGGAACGCGCTTGTCTAGCTCATCGAGCGCGTTCCACTACTCGCAGCAGCGCCCATTTACAAGCGTCCGACAAACGCATGTCTTCCTCGATGTAATGGATCGTAGATTCCCCGCGGCGAGTCCGAGCCATTTGCGAGCACTTGCGTTGCGAGTACCTGGCGAAGCCCAGACGCGTGCGATTTTTCCCGACACGGGCCATCGAGGAGTATTTGGGGTCACCTTGCGAACAACATACACTCCCGCCCGCCTCAGGCGCCCACCCGAGGCGCTGCAGTGCGCTCACAGGCCCCGAGGCAGGCCGATACACCAAACCAGCCATACATCTCCGAACCGGGGCGGTCAAGATTTGATTTAACTTGGTGCATCGACTCTGGGCAGTAGTTCTGCACAGCGGCCCAATCGCAGGAAGCTCTTCGAAGCCCGTGCCAGGAAAAGGATTCAAGCAGCACGGGGGGCGAACAACATACACGCGCGATGCCGAACAATGCGCGGGGAATGGACGCCCGAGGCGCATGTCTCGGAATAGAAGTATCCCAGTGCGGCCCTACCTAGGAGTTGGAGCATCTAGGAAAGCAACATCTACATCTACACCGACAGCTACATTAACATCTACACCTTCATCTACATCTACATCAACATCAACAGCGAGCCTCACATCTACATCTGCATATACACCTACATCTGCACCTACACCTACATATATGATATGCTATGCTATGCTATGCTATGCTATGCTATGCTGCGCTATGCTATGCTATGATATGACATGCTATGCTATCCTATGCTATGCTGCGCGGTGTTATGCTAAGCTAAGCTATGAGTTGATATGTTATGATATGCTGCGCTATGCTATGCGATGCTATGCGAGGTTGCGCTATGCTATGCTGTGCTAAGCTAATGCTATGCTGTGATATGCTAGGATCTGCTCTGCAATGTTATGCGATGCTATGCGAATGCTGCGCTAAGCTAAGCTAAATTGGGCTAAGCAACGTTAAGCTAGGCTAGGCTAAAGCTAAGCTAAGCTAAGCGATGCTATGCTATGCTATGCTATGAGATGCCATGCTATGCTATGCTATGCTATGCTAATGCTGCGCAAAGCTAAGCTGCGCTAAGCTAAGCTGAGCTAGGCTCAGCTAAGCTAAACTAAGCTAAGCTAAGCTAATTTGAGGGAGTTTCTGTGGAACTCACGTCATCCTCACCCCCGGCGCGAAGAGCACGAGCCCAGAGCGGCCTCCGGCACCGTTTCCGGACAGATCCGGTGGATCCGGTGACGAATCCCAAACCGGCGCCCTCGCTTGAGACATCCTCACAAAACCGGCCCCGGGGGAGGTGCCCAGAGGAGCCCAGAGCGGCCTCCGGCACCGTTTCCGGACAGATCCGGTGGATCCGGTGACGAATCCCAAACCGGCGCCCTCGCTTGAGACATCCTCACAAAACCGGCCCCGGGGGAGGTGCCCAGAGGGGCCCAGAGCGGCCTCCGGCACCGTTTCCGGACAGATCCGGTGGATCCGGTGACGAATCCCAAACCGGCGCCCTCGCTTGAGACATCCTCACAAAACCGGCCCCGGGGGAGGTGCCCAGAGGAGCCCAGAGCGGCCTCCGGCACCGTTTCCGGACAGATCCGGTGGATCCGGTGACGAATCCCAAACCGGCGCCCTCGCTTGAGACATCCTCACAAAACCGGCCCCGGGGGAGGTGCCCAGAGGAGCCCAGAGCGGCCTCCGGCACCGTTTCCGGACAGATCCGGTGGATCCGGTGACGAATCCCAAACCGGCGCCCTCGCTTGCCTGAAGGCCCTCGGCCTTACTAATTGTTAGCAGCACATGTAAGTAGGTTATAAGTAAGTTGCAACTAGGTTGCAAGTAAGTTATAACCATTAGTAATGTTACTAAGTCGGCTAACTCGGGCGGTGCATTTGGAGGTAGATAGCTTGAGTTAGCGAAGTTGCTAACTTCGCTAACTTTTACAGGCTTACGTGAAAACAGAGCTGCTGCATCGGGTTTTCCTTGGATGTTGCCTCCAGAAACGCATGCATGTGTTTGGATTTTCGGGATCACGCATATCGGAAATCATGATCCAGACTTGCGTGCGAACGCATTCAGAATATTGTATCGAGCGTTACAAGAATGTTGTGCATTGCAAATGCAACATATCATTTCGAATTCGCAACCCTCTGTTGCACATGTTTTTGAATGTCACTAGAGTTTGGGCTCCAGCCCTTTGGGCGAGGATTGCTGCTGGCGCTTGTGGCGTCCTCCTGCACGCGGCGTGATGAACGCCTCCCGTGAACAGCAGATCGCGGAGGTCCGCCCCAAGATGATGGCCATCAAGGACATGTACTTGCATCCTGATGCAGCGGTGGTCTCATTACTTGAAGACGTATGCAGCATTGCAAGAGGCATAGACTGCCTGAGGGTAGAAAAAATACACTCGAAGTATATGATGGTGTGCACAGAGAATCGTTACGGAGATGGAATCATTCCGAGCGAGGTTATGGATTTGATTTCCAAGATCTTCAAAAATGGATTCAAGAACTCAGCCCTCCAGAATCCAGC